GACACTATCGCTAAATTGTCCCAAAATGAGCAAATACCCGTCAAAATATATACAATAACTCAAAGGGTGACAATGATATACTGAATTCTGTTATTTGTAATGATAAACAGAACAAACAAACAAGTATTTTTAATAAAGGAAGTGGTGATCTAAGACTTTTATTAGAAAATCTCGTGCTGATAAGAAGGGTTTGCGATGCAACCGAAAAAAACCCTTTGATATAGGGTTAAAGATAACACCCTATAATAATTTTATTTCTAATTTCCTAAGATTGTATATAATCTTTTAGCCAAAGTTTTCACTGCAAAGAGGAAGCGGTTGCTTGCTTTATTACGCACAATTATTCTCTGCATACCCACCATTATGGGGAAAATGATGGAAAAGAAAAGCCATTCCCAGCAATTTGTCATTGTTTGATTTTCTCTGCACTTGCTATAATTTTTGTTTGGTTTTTTTGGTTTTACTACTTTTTTTTTGGGTTGCCAGCGCAACGAGTTCGGAACTGGAGCTACTGGCTCCCAAACAATTTGAGCATTTGATTGCTTTATTTCACTTTACAACGCAAATTGGTGGCTTTGTGTTGTATGGCCTGTGTGATACTTCCTGCCTGCCACGGCTAATTATGAACAATCAGAGATCGCAGAAGACAAGAAAAGAAGGGGGGGTTCGGGTTCGGGATCTTGGGATCGGATCTCTGGGGACGTTGCCGCTGCTGTTGCAGCTAGTGTGTTGCACTTAGTTGCATGATTACATTTAATGGGCAACGCCAAAACATAATCATTTCGATTAAATAATCAGCTACTGAAGCAAACCAGAGTCAGCGGCCACTCTTCGCACATTTGCGCCAAACAACAGTCACTGCGGTGAGTTGAACGGCACTACAGAGAGAGAAAATATCACCACTTTGGGGTTGACTATTGTATTGATAAATTTTGTAAGCTCAATCAAACTGTTTTCTAATTTCGGTTTTTTTAAATTCTATTTTAACCTTTTTAACTGCAGCCTGATACTCTGGTTTTTAGGTTTTTTTTAATTAGTGGTAAAGAAAAAAAAAATTTCTGACATTTAAAAATTAAATTTAATTTAAAATCTTTGTATGATTTTTAATGAGTTTGTTTTTAGGGAATAATGGATTATTAGAGAATGCCCTATGACACTGGCTAAAATTTCGACTTAATGACTAGATTTGAAAAAAAGTGATGACAACCTACAGAAAAAAATCAGTCGTTTTTGGGATGCTGACTTTAAAAAAACTTGTTTTGATTTTTAATAAGTTTGATGTTGCCAGGGAAATATTTATCAATTAACATTTAATGTTGTTTTTAGGTTCCTGACTTTTTAAAATAGAATCAAGTGTCATAAGACCATAACCATTTTTCTCAGTGCAATGCAAGGAGCTGCCTTGTTTGTAATTATGAAAGTTTTTCTCTTTTCATGTTTTCCTCTCCCGAACCGAGCCAAACCGTTGAACGTTATGAACTCATTTGTGGAAAAGTCGGGTCTAAGCTCTGACTCAGACTCGGACTCGGACCCATTTCATTCATAGCCACAAGCTAAAGTCGCTGCACACATATAAAGCCGGCATATCCATGGTATATCGGAAGTGTTGCTGCTGCACAAGTTGTTGCCGCGGTGAAATGTTGTTGACCACAAAAGTGGCTTGAACCTGAAAACGCCTTGCAATGTGATACAAAAATGTTATTGCCTCGCTCTGTGCAGCAGCCAGCAGCAGCAACACAGCAACATCTGCAGCACAGCAGCAACAGCAATCTGAGACTAGTTTTACACCAATTTCCGCCGCTGCAAAGGTTAAAGACATTGCTTTACAAAAGGGAATTGTTTTTTCTATAACTTTAATCGAGCTTTAATGTGGCAATTGCCGTTTGATGTTGCTCTAATTGAAAAAGGCAAAAACGCCGGGAAGAGAGAATTATGGGTAAAATCAAGTGGAAAATTATGGATGGCTATTGGCGTTGAGTGAGGTGTTTGAGATTTCCGAGGAATTCCTGAAATATTTGTAGCCCCAGCCCCCAAATATAAATCTCAGCTCGTTTAAGCCTTTTTCTTCTAAACTGGCCGCGAATAAACAAGCAAAGGCGAACAACATTTCAGTTGTTTGTGCGAGGCTTTGTTTGGCTTAGTTGTTATTATTATTTTTTATTATTTGTTCGGAGGAATGTTTTTTTTTATTATCGGTCTTTGCGGGTGTTCTGTTTATTTTTTACTACATGTTTTTTGTGGGTTAGCAAGGCGAAACCTTGAATATGTCTGTCATTTTTGCTGTTGCTGTATTCTGCATATACCAAACGAGTATTTGAATTTAATTTATGCCCCGCAATTTGTTTGGTTTTGGCTAATGTTTGAGAATTTTCATTGCCAGTTAAAATAAATCAATTTGGAAATACATAAATTCCATTCCAAATGAGCTGTAATATTTTTGGGTAAAAAAAGGAAGGGGAAAAACAATATTTGGTCCACCTGTAGACCATTAAGCAACTACCAAAAACTATGGGAAAGTTAACCTGCCTTTCGACTGAACTCTTGAATATGCATTTATCAATTGGCTCAAGGTCCCCGGCTGATTTTGGTTTTTTTCCCCTTAAACGTTTTTGCATCTCCCCAAAAAACATAATTCGATATGCCAGACAACCTGTTTCTTCGTCTACGTTTACCTTTTATCCATTCTGCGACATTTTGATTGATTTAAGACGCTTGGAAAACGAAGAAGCCGCAAAATGATTTTAGCCATGATTGCGCTGATTACGTGACTCTGTCAATTGATTTGTGCGCCAAACAGAAAAATAAAAACAAAACTCTGGCTCAAAACTCTTGGCCCATATGAATGAAAAAGCGGCCCAAAGCGGCCAAAAGTATTTTTGGTTAGTTCGTGCGGCGGCCAAACAACAAAAACTCATCGTGGCTAATTTTTCATGAAGGTTTTTCAATTGTGTTGGCCGCTGCCGTTTGAGTCGGCCAAAGGCCTCAATTTATTGTTATGTGCATTGAATTTTTAATTTACTTTTTTTCTAGTAGCCATTTTGAATTAGCTTTTTTTCCTACCAATTTATTTTATTAACTGAAAAATAAATAAAATAACTACAGTCATGTTACCCTTTTGGTATAATTAATTTAAAAAAACAATAAATAAACAGCTCTTTAAATTTGACACATTATTTAAATAAATAAATAAATCACCTGTCCAGAATTTGTAATCTAAAACCTTTCTATTGTTGACTTAGTCCTCCAGAAACTACGTAATCTGTATTCAACCAGCAAAAAACGTATAGAAGAACCTAAGCCTTTAAGCATATTAGGCGTAAATGAGCAAAAAATACCCTAACCATATACAAATATATTCAACGATTAGGGTATATACAAAAATAATAATAAATAATGTCCGAATATATTAGAATGTATTACAACACGCCAAAGACAGAGATAGCCAATCTCTTTTGGAATTGCGCAATAACTAAAACAATTCAAGTGGCAAACTTGACGGGTATTAACTGAAATTGCTTAAACAATTACTGGAAATGTATTTAAAGACTTGAAAGTGTAATTACCGAACAAACTATGAAATTGCCCCTATCTAAAGCCTGATAAAGTCACTGGCCGTGCACTGAATTAGTTGAGAACGGAGTTGTTTACCCAAAAGGGGCCTGCGGAGGAGTGTAGGACAAATAAATAGCAATAAAAAAATCAGTTCAAAAGGTATATTAAATTAAGTAAATAAGATATGACAGCACTGCTGAATGTTTTTTTATTACCAGATCGTATATATTTATTATAGAATACGAAGTTGCGTTGACTTGGCCCAAAAAAACCCCTGATAAATGAAAAGTAAGACGTTATTACTTAATAATATTTATTACTTAATAATATTATAGTTCTATTATCATCCATCATATATCATATAAGCTTTTCGTGTTATAACCCCAACTTTGCCAGATTTTTTTTTTCACTTACTCTCTTTATCTTTTTTTATATTAACATCCCCTTTGAAGTACGCTCCTGGAACTCGTGAGTTATATCTGATCACGCACTTAACATATGATAGCTGATAAAAATATTCACCGTCGTGGAGAGGGAAAAGCTATCGCTCCGGACGTGTCGTGTCCTATTATTTAATTGGATTTCAGTTATATCCATTGTCAGTTGTTCAAGGCAATTAGAGCACCGGCGATAGCTATCGTTTTATTTTTAGCGACATTTTCGCATAAACGCGACAATTTGAGGCTTCGTGCGAAGCTCAATCACGCTTTAAATGATGTGTCTTCGCTATTTTTGGCCCCTTAAGTGGACCATAAAACTGAAATCTTGACATTTCAGAGTTATAAAAGAAACGATCGTTCGTCCGGTCCAAGGGGTAGAAATTCGTTGAAGCTTTAACTGCGGAGAGCTGGTTGAAACAATTGATTTCAATTTTAATTAACACCCCCACAGTAGCCACGCCCCCCGACTTGCCCCCCCTAAGATCATACGATTTTAATTGGCACTTGCTCTTTGGTGGTCGAGGTTCGCTGAATCTTAACCCCTCGAAGACGACGGAGTCAGCCAACGGCACAAATTAATGAATGAAATTACAATGGGGGGATGGTCCCAAAGGGGGTCATTTTCGGGCCAGGGGGTTGGCATGGTAATTATTTTGGGTGGGGGCTAGGCATGGCGTACCCCTTGTTTTCCCATCAAAACATATTTTTGTGAAGCTTATTTTTGTTAAAAATATTTAAACACATATTTTCATACAAACCAATATCATTCAATAAATATTTTCTATTTACATATTTTATGAGTCTTACATTTCCCAGAATTTTTGATTCATGTCTATAAAAATATTTCTGATCTCTCCGAGAATTTCAACCCAGTCCCACCATTTCAGGTTTGTTATTTCCACTTACATAGTTCCAGCATTTCATAAGATATTCATTCATTCATAAGACGCCTCCACAGTTCCCCTCCTTCTTGTTTTTCGACTTCCACAACCGTCCACCCACTCTATATAGTTTTTATTCGTTTATTTACCATTACATCTGTAGTTCTGTTTTTTTTTTGCCTCTCTCGTCATCGCCGTCACTTAAACTTGACCTTTATTTCCATTTATTGCTTATTACTGCATATTGCCTCAGTATTCCCATTGTGTTGTTAGTTGCTGTGTTGTTGATCCAGTTGTTTCTGGTTGTTGTCGCCAAAGTTCTCTAAACGGGCGCCACCCACTTGCACTTTGCATGGGTTACATCTGGATGGGGACAGTGTGTTTTCAGATCAGTAGGGGTTATATGTTCAGAACCAAGAATAATTTAGAATATTAAAAAAAATAGATTTTATTTGGTGTGATAATAAGATGATATATGATGTGATAGTATAACTTTAGTTATTTTTTATTGTCTTTTACTATGATCTTTCTCATTTGTTATGATCTACAACAGTTTCACCCGTTCGCCTGCTTTAATCCAAAACATGCCACTACACTTCTGTTCATTTCGTTGATAAAACCCACATGGATTCTATATGGAATACAGTTGGCTACCATCTATCCGTATTTGTATCTACATATCTGCCTCTGCGATGTGTTCTGTTTTGTTCTGGCAATTTCCTCGTAGTTGTTGCGCAAACACAGGCTAACTGAAATGCAGAAAAAGTCTGCTATTACTAAATATTAGCATAGAGGAAAATAATCTTTCTTTCTTTCTTGCTATCTGTGCGGGATGTCTGTTTCTGTTTTTGTGTTGTTTTTCAGTTATTACTCATTAAATATGCAGTGGCATATGAAATTGCGCATAAATCAGAGTCTTGGGGCTAGGCATTTGGCTTTTCCTTTTCTCTCTCTCTCTGATATATGATCACTGGATGATATATGAGCGGGCTATTAGTTTTAGTTCTTTAATGATTCATCTGGGAGTGTTTGAGTGCTGGGAAATTGATTGTTTCGATGCTAATAAAAAATGGAATCGATGAAGTCCGACTCTTTGTTGGGAAAGAAAGAAGAACGGGGCAACAGAAGAGGTGTCTCAGAACATAGACAATGGAAAACATTCCATAAAAATTCCTAAATCCAGCTTAAACTTAACGTCGTCTCTTATGTTTTGTTTCCTAACTAAGCGTTAAAACATTATAAATACCAGTTGTTTCTGGTGCCTAGACGGCGGAGGAGTTCTATAATCTGAGAAACCAGTTTTGGGCCACCAAAATTAACACGATGGTCGGAGGGATTTGGATTTGGAAACAAAAAACTTGCATTCTTTGATCGGATGGAAAACGAAAATCGAAAAGCCGAAAGAGAGCCAGAGATGCATGTGTATAAGACTGGTTTTCCCTAGCGGTCTTTCGCACCTTTGATGTTGGTTTTTAATGCTCTCGAAAAAAGAGTAAAAAAGGGGGGTTGTCCATCCAGTAATGTCTATGAGAATTTGATTTCTTATAATCGAATTCATGGAATTTTTCCCCAACTTTAGGCGCGGCCTGGCCCGGCGAATGATCAATCAAGTGCAGCATCAGTGGAGGCAGATGAATACCTAATGAGTACGGGTAGGACTCACTGGCAAACTGACAAACACACCCATGAATACCTACATCTGTATGCACATATACCCACAGTCGTAGAGCCAAACTGGTTTAATTGATTCAAATGAAGACGACGATGATGTTGAATGACGTTTGTCCGGCTTAGGCTGTGTCTTTGGCTTTTGTTGCCTTTTATACCGATTTCAGTAATATGTAAATCGAACTCCCCCCCAGTAGCGTTTCCCCCTTGCCTACCTAAACAAAACGTCAAAATAGAAAACTTGCAAATCACATGCAACAATTGATGTCGATTGTTTGCCGCTGGCGTGTCATGCAACGTTTTGTGCTCACCCTTTTGTGGCTGCACTCGTGCAGTGTGTTTGTGTTTATAATTGTCTCAGATGCAACCAGATCCCCCAGCCCCAGAGCCCCTGGAATCCCCCTTTGTGTTTGCCTGCTTGCCGATCACTTGTCAGTCAGGGGCGTTCGGTGCCCCCTCACATTGAACCCAACATAACCTTTGGTTGCACTCGCACACCTGACTGAAAGGTGGATTAATCTTCAGGGTAAATACGATTATACAGATTAAGATTGGCTTTTGATAAAGTCGTTATCATAAAGATAGATATATACAAAGTAATACAGTTTTTCTGTTCATTGTAAGTCACATTAGGTCCAAGCTATTTTTAGATAGGTCTTTAAAATAGTATACAATTTATAGTTAACTTGTAATTATCAAACTACCTCTAGTTAGAGAATAGATTAACCCTGTTCTATTATAAAGAATGCAAATAATTATGACGTTGGAATTTAAACTGTTCAGTTGTAAACCTAAATGCTCATTTACTTGTTCTGAATACCTTTAAATCTCTAGTTTTGATCATTAAAAACGTATACATTTATTAAATCGTTAATTTCATAGTTAAATCAGTTACATTCTGATAATTGGTCGATTGGGTTTATGTATATATGAGCTTTGTGTATAATCATTTTAAGGAATACTCAAACCCATTGCTCACAGTTTTATAAGTACTACAATCAGAATGAGTAAGGGCATTTAAGAATCTGCTTATTGCTCTCATTTTGTAGTTTAATTCTGCGGTCAAAGTTGACTGACAGTTCCCATCTGAATGTCAATTGTGGCTGAGCCCGCGTCTGCCCTTCTGACTTTCAGTTGTTTTCCATTCAATTATTAAAATTAGCCAGCCGGGCTAATTGTTGAAAGATGCAATTAAAGCAGCTCAGACCAAGTCGTAGACAGATGTAGAGATAAGAGTAGCTAAATATCAATAGAGGGTTCTGGAGAATCACACATTTGGGAAAGACTGTCAACGATCTTTTGTCCAAAATCTGAGACGAGGCAGGTAGCGAGATTTTCTTGTGTTTGTAAAATGCATTAAGATATTACCGAACCACCCTCATATAGTATTTCGACGGACGGAAGTCGGTGCGGTCATAAATACCTAATCTTTATGGACAGTGGGAATCAAAGAACTTGACTTGTTTATGCCTCCTCGATCCCCGCCGTGTCTTTATCCCACCACTAATTACTTGTCTCGGTCTGCTGGGGCATAACAAGCCAGACATTCCATTCCTTAACTCAAGATCAGGATAAGATGTTTTGAGAGTTCGGCGTGTAAATGCCTCGAAGTCCTGTCCAAAGGCATTCAAATGCAAAAGGTGGAGCAGCGGAGCCACTAAATAAAATCATTAAAAATAATGAACGCACTTCCGTTGCAATTGTCGGGGTCTTAGAACTTTACACAACATTAAAATGAAGCAGCCAAGGGAGAAGCCTTCTTTGTGGTTTACACAGGGAAAAATACTAAATTATGATTAGATTAGGGCGGTCAAGATTATAGATTTAAAAACGACTTTAATTTAACATGCAGTTGAAAAAATGACCTTTAAGGTTTGCAGATTTGTTGATAATACCTTTGAAGTCTCATTTATTTGTATGATCAGAACCTTTCCTCTATCTTTATCTGTATCTGCTTCAGAACCTTTTATTAAGATCGGAAATACATGTTTTTCTTACTGTGTAGTGGAATATACTCGTAGTATGCCGCACAAATTAAAAGGTAGAAATGTTCCCTCCCCGAAACCCAGATCCCAACTCGTTGTCGAACTCGTTGTTGGTTGTTCGGTGTTCGGTTGTTTGGTTGTTCGACTGTCGTGAGTGGCCCGGCAATTGCAATTACATATGTAAGATTGTTCTCAGATGCCGCCGAGGCCCAAAAGGAAAACGATGTGGGGGCATGGTGAAACGGAAATAAAACTCACTCCTCCCTGGCCGTAAAAACAAAGGCACTGCTGGTTACTTGATTGTGGGGGCTGGACGACACATATAAATTATCAACGAGCAGCCCCAGACCTAAACTCAAATCCCAACCCATTGCCGGTGGAACTCGGTTCTCTAGTTATGCATAGATACAGATACAGAATCAGAATCATGAAGGTTGCTGCCTCAAAATGGGCACCGATACAGGTACAGCCTACGCCAAATGGAGCTCATCGTTTATGCAATTGGTTTATGGGCCAGATATTTTATACTTTATTGCAATCGATGTTGAGACGAGTTGAGGTTGTTGAGTCTGTGAGGAAAGTGCGAAACTGGAACACTTAGTGGAGCAGAAAGAAACTTTTTAAACACAAAAACTTTAAAGATTGGGAAGAAGTTAATATACAGTGGTAACTAGTTTTATTTAAAGAAAACATATTTTTAATCAGCCGAATCTAGTAATATTTAGTCGATATCGAAGGCAAACTAGTTCGGATTAAATCTTTATGATAATTAAATATTTTAAAACTGAAATCCGCTTAAAAGATGTAAATGTAATAAAATTATTTACTTTAGTTTTTACGTAAGGTCCTAATTCCGAAGGTCAACCGCGATCATTACTCAAAAGTTGGAAGTTATTTGCCTAATAATAATAAATATAGAAAATTAAAGGTCGAACTGTAATCAAAATTTACATAGCCTTTCAATGGTCATAAACTGCTGGGTAAACACCATCAGTCACTCGATATTCTTGACCACAAAAAATGATTGATGGCTGTATCGGCAATATTCTAGGTGAACTATTATGTTAATTGATTGTAAAATTCAAATTTAATGCCCGAATCAACCTTTAAACCTGTTGAGCGGCCGTAATATCAGAAAGACACATTACCCCAGCGTGCATTTTCCATGCCAGACTAACAGTCGAATCCCCGCCGGGAATAACAAGTCTGGGGTTGTCGAGTGCCTCCAAATTGATTTACCATTCCGGGTGCCATCATTATATCTGACCCAATTGCTGGCGGGGAAGTGTGACACATTTCTGGTGGCAAAGATCAATTTGGTTTGGCTCTGGCCGGTGGAAATGGACCACAACGTTGCCAGTTCCGTCGCATTAGTTTCGCTGCTGAAAGTTAACTGGGAATGGAATAGGAATCGCTATAGGAATAGGGAATTGGAATCGTAATAGAATAGTAATAGTAATGGGAATGGGAATGGGAATGGGTTTTGGAGTGTGGCGCGGTTAGTTGTTCCGACTGTTTGTTTACACAACTGTTGAACTGTTGAAACAGTGGCAAAGTGCGGAATCATGTTGCGGCATTTGTTTTTCTATCTTTATTTAAAGTGAATTTTTCTCTTATTAGCCCTACTCTCTACTGGCTTATTTACCCAATGACATCTTCGAATGGCGCTTGTTCAAAAGACAAAAAAAAAAACAAGGTCAGGCCCAGAACTTTCGAAAACAAAACAAACCGAGGAGAAAAAGCTAAAAAAAAAAAAAATAATACCAGAGGAGATTCGCCGGATAAGCGGGAGAACAAACAATTTGTCAGGGAGGGGCCCATTCGCAATTTGTATCTGTAACCGGGAGATATTCGCGCTTTTTCACACCACTCTTCTGGGTTAACGTCAGCGTTAACCCGTTTGCCCGGCCAATTACCCCGCCCCATAACCCAACATGAATATCGCTTAAAACAGAATAAAAGTGCCTCGACAATTGCTTGATTCATGACTAAAACAGCTGGAGAAAGAGGAACCGAAGCAACCTACATAAAGATATCTCTGGCTTTCAGCCTCTCTGTATCTTGTACATTGCATATTGCATATTGTATCTTGTATCTTATATCTCAAAATGTGACGCATCTGAGAACTGCAGCTTGAAGTTTTCCTCTTGGCGCTTGATTGCTCTTGATTGGCCTTTGTTTTTGCTTTTTCTCCCATTGTGCAAGTTTTGATTTCGCCTCGCGTTTTGATTTGATTTCTATTTGTGTGTCTGGGCAAGTGTTTATTTTCATTTTCAATAAATCGCTCTATAATTGCACTCTGGGGGGGGTATGGTGGATCTGGGGTATTACCCAACCCAAAACCCCCTCGATGTGAAAGCTGCCGTCAAATTATCTCATTTCACGAGGCGTGTGAAACAATTTTTTGATCTTCCCATTTCCAAATTGATATATCTTTTGTATTTTCTACAAATATTTTAATAGTTTCTTTTGTTTATCTCTTGCAGGGCACACCTATAAAGCTCTTCAAGATTTGTGGATGTTTTCAGGTAACTACAAAACTAAGTGTTTTTATATAAAATTCCAAAAAACTTAAGAGGGAAAAGAGGATGTGGACTGAAAAACAACTGCAGATCACCCATGACTTACAAGTTTAGCCCACTCGTCCCACTCGAATGCAGTTAAGTGGTTCGAACACACTATTCATAACTCGTGTGCCATTAAAGCTGGAGGCACGCAAACTTTCGCACGGCTCACTGCTCGCATTGAGAACCTTAAATATGGGTCAATTACTCATAGAGTGTGCGGGAACGAAAACAAATTTCTTACATAACTGTTGACGTAGTGAATTTAGTGGTCGTAAAGTAGTCTACAAATGCGTTATGGGGGGTATACACAACTGATATAAGGAGTTTACCTCTCCTTTTTTCTTTTCTAACAATATTATACCATTTGTTTCCAAAATGGTTAGATGTATTATAAGTTCCTAACTTTTTAGATTAAAAGGATAGGATGGTACTTAGTTTTGTATACAAAAGCTCTCTTGAAAGATAGTTGTTCTGGTATTACTAAGTATTCCCTAGAACTAAGAACATTTTTGTGTTACTAAGTAACCCTAAGTCTGGAGCAAACTCTACCTGCTCGGTAGGTTTGGTTTTAGTTGAGTTCTAATTGCCGCTAGTCATACCCGCATTCGCATTTGGAGCCAGGGAACTAAAGCCTAACTGTTGAGTGGCAGTTAAATGCTAATTTGCCGGGCTGACTGACCGTTGCTGACTGCCGG